GCTCCAGAGGGGGGCCCCGGTGACCCACGTCCGGGCGAGGGAACGCCAGATCCAATGTTTGTATTCATCATAAGGGGTCATAAGGGGTCTTCGGGCTGCGCTTTGTCTGGTTCCTCACCTAGGACCTGTCTGCCATGGGTGACCCTACCAGGGGCATAAAGCCCCAGACAGCATAGCTCCTAGGATCATTGGGACACTCAAACCCCTCCACCACGATAAGGTAGCAGCCTTATCGTATATTTTTCACCTTTTAAATTTATTTTGTTGCATTTAATCATAAATTTAAAGTTTACCATTGATATAAGAAACAATTTTCACGGCCAATATATATAGTTTTACATCTTAAATAAGAATAAAACTCTATGGTTTACCTCTCGAGCAGTGAGTTTTTTTTTTCATCACAGCGACCTCTGGTGGAGAGGAGGGTGAACTGCAGGACTTTAAGTTCTTTTCTCCACACAAACACAGGAAACTGAATGAAAATAATACCTCCACCAAGTTTACATTTAGGATATTATTTTTATTTAGAAAATAGAATTAAATCTTAAAGTTTTACTGAGACTTTAAACCCAGAAAATCAGAGAGTTGAAATGATTGTTTTCCATTAAAAATAATTTTCTATTTTACTCATAGACACTAACGCTCTTCTGTAATAATGGGATTCCTAATTACTTATACTTCTTTTCATTTAATTGGTATTATTTAGCACACAAAAAACTTTGACTTGAGCAGATTATGTTGAAATAAAAATACAATCAGCAAAACAATAAAAACAGTAAAAAAATTGGAAATATGTTTTCTACTTCTATAAATTAAATTGCTTTTGAGTTTTTAATTTCTGACCAACTCTGGAAAAACAACACAGAACAGTTACAAAAAAAGAGCAAATTAAACCTACATTCTGTAGCTGTAAAGAGTTAATCCTAACTTTTAAAAAAATTATTAAAAAAAACTTAAGTTTCAACCTTCTTGACTATTTTAGGCATCTGTTTATTTTTTAAAAATTACTAAAAATTACTTTTCATTTGCTGACTTAAAGTTTTTTTAACTTATTGTTATACGTTTTCTGTCAAAAGCCACAGAATAAAGTCGACTGTTGAAGAAGTCTGTGTGAACTTTCTCCAAAAGGTCAAAGGTCAAAGTTCAGCTGCACAACAAACAGAACAAACATCCATCCTTCATCTACATCACCTGGGAGCAGCTGGTGCCAGTAATCCGGAGTTCTCTGAGCGAGAGATGAGGTGCAGAAAAACTCAGAAACACCTTTTAGTTTAGCTTTTTTAAAACTTTTATCTACTGTTCTGCTTCTTTTAGCTCTAAAAACTCAATTTTAGCTTCTTCGGCTGATTTGCTCGGCTCCCTGCTGCTGACAGTGAAATGGTAAATTTGTTCAGTTTATTAAACAAAAAGCAGCTTAAAGCAACAATCATCTCAGCACCTTCACTTAACCACAGTTTATTTATTTTTTGTTTAACATTTTTCTCCACAAGAAAAAAAAAGCTGAAATCTTCGGCTCCGATTGGGCAAAACCTCTGCTCCTCCTCAGTTATCAGCTAAAAATAGGTTACAAATAAAATACTTTATGGGTTGATTACTTATTTTAAATAACCCAGGCTAACGAGCCTCTCTAACTTTAACGTCAGCTCCGTGTTTTGCATATGTGTGAACTTCCTGGTTGACATGTTTCCCAGGTGTGTCAGAGCACAGGTAACCGCCCAGGTTTCATTTTCTGCTGGGGACTTCAGGTTACAGAATAAGAAGCTGGTTTTGTTGCTTTTGTTTTTTCTTCCTTGAGGTGTGTGCGTTTGTGTGTGCATGTGATCAGACTGAGGCTCAGTCAGTAATCTCTGACAGAACCTGTCAGGTGGGCGTGGCCAGGCTTTTTACCTGCAGCAGGTTTGAAAAGGATCCTTCACAGAAACTTTAGCCTTTTATGTGTCGCTCGCTCTCTGGATTTTGATATTAGACACACTGATCTGTCTCTCACACGGGACAGAAACGAGGACAGCAGCTGGACGACAGGAGGGACAAAGGACACAGAGGATGAGGAAAATGCTCCAGAATGTGAAATAACTCGGAGGAGATTCTTCGGCTGATGTTTCGACAAATGGGTCTGTGATTCTAATGTGGCATTTCAGAATCTGGAATGTGAAAGATGTTTCCGTCCTTCTCAGCATCGCTCTCTGTTTGTGCCACGCAGGTAAAACTTTCTACCTCCTGTCTTTGTCCTTTTTTTTTCCTCCCTGCATGTCAACACAGAACCCGTGTTTGTTTAAAGATTCCAGCCTTTCAGCAGAAACTCAAACTGCCAGGACTGGGAGATAAAACCAGACGTTTTCTGAACCTCGCAGAGAGAAAAGTTGATTTTAATGGTTTAAAACCATAAAATCTGCTCTCACATGACTTCACTGAATCATCTGTAATACTCAACATCTTAAAAAGCAGCAACATAATTAAAGAAGCTCATCTGCTGAGAAATGATAGTTTCAACTGTTATCATCAAACCCTCATATAATCTGAGATCTCACTCAGGATGACTCTCAGCTACTACCACACCAAATCTTAAATAAACATCTGTAACATCAGCTGAGCTAAAGCTGCTCAGGTTGATAAGGTGGCTTATCTGCGGCGGCCATGTTGAATGAGACTACGACAAACAGATAAAGACACGGTGACGAAGGTAATAAAAGAAACTAAAGCTTTGAGGAGAGTTTCTGAGACTAAAACTAATTCAGTTGTTAGTCAGCGCCGGTGTTTTCCTTAGAGACTCTTTACCAAACAAACAGTCAACCAGCAGAACCAGATCTTCCACTGATGTTCCTGCGTACATGTTCCCTGCAGAACCAACATGAGGCTAAACATACTTAACGGCTTTTGTTTGGTCAGAAAACAAAAAGAAACAGACAAGACAGGAAGATTTGTGCCTCTTCAGGAAATAAACTCAGAATGTTTTCTGATGCAACAGCTGCCATAAAGATTGAAGAGCAGATAATGAAAGCTCCTGTTTTACCTTCATGTGTTAATGACAGCTAATCTGCCAAAATACAGTGAATTTTTCAAGATTTGCCTGAAAATATTTTATAACAAAACCGTTAATGAGTTAAGTTTGAAGAGTCAGGCTTTGCTGAAAGTAAAAAACAAGAAAAGTGAAAAATCAGGAGGAGAAAAGGGCAAAAGTGTGTCGGAAAAGCTGAACAGAGCAGAAATGTAGCTAAACTTAGTAAAAACATCTCAGAAACACTTTAACACACATTTAGCAGACCGGTGGTAAAATGACAACAAAATGCACATTAACAAGGAAGGGGAAAATAAAAAAGTTGTAATTATTGATAACATAGTTAAAATAGCTCAAAAGAGCTGAAAACAGCTAAAGCTGAAAAAGATTAAACTAGCACAAAGAAGCAGACAGAGCATTTGTTTGATGAATGAACAGTAGGAAGCTGAAATTATTGCAAAAAGGTGTAGTGGGGGAAAAAAAGCTAAAATTAACTTGATTCAGCTTCAAAGTAGCTTAAAAGACAAAAAAAACAGCTTAAACTAGCACAAAGAAGCAGACAGAGATGTACAATTAGTACAAGAAAAAGAAGCTGAAGAATGCTGACATTAGCACAAAGAAGCAGAACCAGAGTAACTGAAGCAGAAAAGATTTATGAACATTTGAAGGATTTTATGGCTTCATTCATTGTCAAACAGAAGAAGTGGCCAAACAAGATAATCACAGCTGGAATGTCCTGAAGGAGCCAAACGTTTTGACTGAAATGTTGAAAAAGAAAAAAAAAATAATGGAATGAATACGAGCTGTAATAGTTAATGACTCATTAACTATTACAGCTCGTAATAATGACCAGAAATTAGACCCAGCCCAGTGTTTATGATGAATCTGTTGTTTTTATCCGTCTCATGAAGCCGGAGCGATCTCAGTCACTTCAGTTCAGAGGAACCTCATCAGGTCGGTGCAGGAGGACGTGTTGTTCTCGGTCAACGTGACGTGCAGCTGCGTCCCCACCGTCCACTGGACCTTCATGTCTGCGGCTGTGAGCCGGGCCATCGGGTCCTGGCAGCCGGGGGTCTACGCCAACATAACGGAGGACTACAGCAGCAGGGTGAAGGCCTGCGACGACGGCTCCATGGGCCTGTCGGACCTCCGGCTGCAGGACGCAGGCTTCTACGTGGTCACCGTCCAAGACCCGGCAGGAAACAGCAAGGACCTCGGGTTTGTCCTGAAGGTGACCGGTGAGTCCGCGCAGCCCCGAGTGGGCACATCTCTGTGCTCTATAAGTCAGACTCAAAGTGGTCTGGATCCACGGTGTTCCAGGATTTCTGAAAGTCTTTGACTTTTTTAGTTTATTTTACAAATTTTAAGACCTGAGGGAAACATGACCAGAGGTATTTAAAGTATTTAAAAGAATTAACAGTACTTTAACAGAAAATGGCTTTGGTACAAAAGAAAAGTACTTAAAAGTCATAAAACTGCTCAGACTCCAAGAAATGAAGTGTTGAAGTGAAGATATTTGAGAATGAACTCTTATTTTATGCATCAAACTGTGAAACTGTTGGTATTTTTCAGATTTAACTAAAGAAGCTAAAAGAAGCTGCTGTTTGTTCCAAGTTGTTTGACGCAGGTTCCTCCCTTCAGTTTAAAAGCCTCTTTTAATTTAAATAAAAGACCTTGTTACTAACTAAAGTCTGGCTGCTTGGAAGCAAACTTTTAAAATCAAAACTAAATTTTGGTACATTTGCTCGCTGCCTTACAGAAAGTATCATCAGGGGATTTTTCAAAGCAAACAGAGCGATTCAGAACCCGAGAAAGAACAAGATTTAACAGGTCTGGATGGTCTGTGTTTGTAACGAATTCCCAACTTTAAAACAAAAGATTCAGACAGTTAACCCCAGCAGATTCTCATATTTACACAGAACGACTTGTTCCAGCAGCAGCTTGTTTATAATGTGTTTAGTGTCAAAGCTTCGGTGCTGCAGGAACCTGTGTGACCAGGTGACGATCCTGCTGCCGACCTTCAGTCAGCTGCTGTTTTCTTTACGCTTTGTTCCCGAGGGCTGCCAAGTTCACCTGAAACATTTATGCTAACAACAACATGTCAGACGGATTCATGTAACGTGTGTTGGTCCGTCTCTGGAAACACTTTGATTTGATCAACTTTCAGCGACACAAACATGATAAACTCTAACATCTCCATTATGCACTCTGAGCACTAACAGATCATAAGAGCTTCATTCTTTTGTGCTTTTCTTTTAAAAAAATAAGCTTATTTTTAAATGAGGTTTTTTTCAGAAACTGAAAGCTAAAGGATACTAAACTGCTAAAAATATTTAAATTTTTAAATATAAAATATTAAAATATAAATGTAAATATTTTTAAAAATTAAAAAAAGATTAGATTTAACAAAGTAAAACACAAAATCAACCTCAGAATAAATTTTAAAAGAATCTTTTAGGATTAAAACAATTTTAAAGTTTGTTATTTGATCAATGATAGATAAAGTCTAAATAAAACTACTTTATACTGTATTTATTCATGTATAATACTAGAAATTTAAAAATCATCCATAAAGTGGGGGGTAGTATTATACACGGCTTATTGATGATTAGATTTTAAATGCTTTTAAGCTCAATTGATTATTAATTGATATTATACATGAATAAATACAGTAATAATTTCAATTTATCGCCCACCATCTTGAGTAGCAAATATTAAAGCATAAATTTTAGCACTCAGTATGATGAGGATGTGTAACAGGATTATTATTATTTGAGATTTCACCAAAAAATTTTTATCACATAAAGTTCATTTGTATTTTCTCAGCTTTTATTTTGAACTCTGTGGTTCTTGTGATGTCACTTCCTGTCCAGCATGAGCCTGGAAGCATTCTGCAAACCAGGTTTTAGCTCAATAGCTGTAAAATTTACCAAAATAAAACCTTGGTTATGTTTGTTAAAACTGTTTTATTTTGCTGACAGACCAAACGAGGCTGAAACAGAGAAAACTAAAGTTTTCGGCTCAGATCTTCTTCGAGCTCAGAGTGTGTGTTGGGGATGACTCTCAGCTACTACCACACAAGATTTTAGCTCAGAATCTATAAAAACAACAGAATTATAGGATCTTTGTGTTTGTCCGATGATTCTGTTCTGAAACGTTTTGTTCAAATCTGTCCAGATATTTTGCTAACAGAGGAACACAGAGGCCTGTTTCCACAGCCACGACGCAGCCTCTGAGAGAAAAACAAACACAGGACAACAACAGTTCAAACTCGGTCGTTGCTCCCGGTCGGACACTCGGGGGGTAACTCTGTCGTGTCTCTTGTGTCTCCGTCCTCAGAGGTTCTGTACGAGGACCTGCAGTACCTGTCTGTTAGCGCTTTAGTCCTGACCGGTCTGGCCGGACTCCTCATGCTGACCATGTGGCTGCTGCACAAGGCCTGCAGGAAGTTCAGAGCGTGGAGACGCAGGAAACGGATGCCAGGTACGAAACCCCTGCAGGTGCTGATGATTTCATTTAAAAAGAGCTAAATTATCATGTTTTATGAACCCGCCTGAGCTGAAGCGGTTGTATAAACAGGGATAAATGTATTATCTGCTGCACGCACAGGTATGTCAGGAGTACAAAGGTTGAGAGAGTTCTACATTAACTTGGTTATAAAAGCCTTTTTAAGCATTTTTTATTGACAAAGTCGGACCTTTTTTTCTGCAGAAGCCGATGAAACGGAGCTGCAGCGCCTCTGACGGAGCCGTGGAAACAGAGACTGAGATAAACCAGCTCAGACCTGAGCTGGAGCTGCAGAGTTTTTAAATTAAAAACTCATGGTTTAAAACAGAAAAGCTACCCTCCCAAGAAAAAAAAAACCCTGCACCGTGTTTACATTTTGTACCGAACGTACTTTTAAATTCACCGCTGGAATGATGTAAATACTGTAGATCAACAATCACGAAGGAAAATGTTCCATAAACGTATTTATTATAAAATTAAAGGAGCTGGGTTGAAAGGAGAGCAGAAACCTGTTCTGTTGAATAAAAAAAAAAGTTTAAATTAGAGCATCGTTTTGACATCCTGTTACTTTTTGACCTGTTTCAGGTTTAAATGTCCCACAGGAGCGTTCAGATCAGCTGAGCTTTACGACAGCGTTTTAAAAGTAACCGAGTTGCTGTTACTGTAGAGAACAGGAGGCGGAGCTCTTGCCTGGAGGCGGAGCTTCAGCTAAGGGCAGGGAGTGAGCGCGGCCATGAGCAGCTCCATCTTGTAGACGAAGTTCCGGCCCTCCATCTTGCTCCAGTGCACCTCCTTGGACGGACCCCTGAGCTGGCTCCACTTGGCGTCCTGGATGACATCGCTCTTCGGCAGCTCTTTGACCTGGCTGCGCGGGAACTGGACCAGAACTTTGCAGCCGCTCTCCGGTCCATTACGCACTGACGAGAACCAGACACAGAGTCTGTGTTAATAAAAATCAGCTCTTAAATATTCCATTGGAGAAATCTTGTATTGTAATCGCGAGTATGTATGTACATATACGTATATATATATTATTATTATTATAGACACATGTATTTTGTTGCTGTACTTTTGTCTTCATGTTTGCAGGTGTGCAGACAGGTGTCTGGTGTGTTGTCTTGAGTTTTCTTGGTGTATATTTCACATATCTTCTAATCGCTCTCTCAATCTTTCTCATTACATTTCTCCTTTTTCATCTCTTATCTCAATATTTACTTCTCTTTAAAAAAAAGTCACTGATCATGAAGAAACTAATACAGTATTAAGGTCTGTTTTCTACTGAAGCGGCTTAAAAAAATAAAAATCAGCTTGTTCGTTTGAGTTTATGACATTGACACAATGCATTCCTGACATTCTCCTTCAGTTTGCTCGCTCTAACCTTCAACAGAACAAAGACATGGTGATCTGCTCTCACCTGAGACGGCGTACTCCCCGTTCGGAGAGGCCACGGTGATGGCGGAGGCGTTCCCGATGCTCTCCACGGGGCCCAGGCCCACGTGGTTACTGAAGCTCAGCACGTGCCAGCCCATGACTTTGGCCAGCTGCTGCACGGCGTGCACCTGATGCTGCGACATCTGCAAAAACCAGCTGCGCCGTCACACCGGCCTCCTCCGCAGAGCGTGCATGGAAAATAAAATTAATTAATCAAAGTGATACCTGCGAGAGGAGGAAGTCCTGCAGCTCCTGCTCCTGGTGGGACAGAGAGATGACCCGCCCGTCTCTGTGGACGACCCGGATCTGCTCCACCCCGATGTTGAGCTGCAGCTGGATGGACCTGGAGCCAGAGAGAAAACACCATGAGCTTCTCTGACGGCGACCACGAGCAGGATAACCACACCTCTTACTTGCAGATCTGCTCGTAGCCGTGCGAGGTGATGAGCACCTTCACGCTGGACTCGTACACGTCGTTGATGTTGGACCAGTGAGCCTGGATCTGAGGGTCTTCGATCCGGCTGGCCAGGCTGTCGATGGTTCGTGCCGTCCTGGTGAACAAACACATAAAACACCTGCTGTAAGAAGAGGCTTTATTACAGAAAATATCTACGTTAAATTCAAAATAAAAAATGTTTTTATTTTCAACGACTCGTCTTTATCATAACCTCTATGGAGGACTGAAACTGACATAATTAGAAATAAAAAAATAAATACATAAATGGACCAATAAATAAACAAAAACACTTAAAAGGCACAGATTAAATTAAAAAATGAGTTTTACCTCATGTTTTATAATTTAAATCGACCTTCTTTTATTTTTCCAGCTTATTTCCAATAAATTAGATATTTTAGCACATATTTTATATTTTACTTTTTAAAAATATAGAATTTTTGTTTTTCCTTTTACTTGTACATGTATTTGTCTCTTAAATGATTATATTTATTTTTTTATATGTCTTTCTGACAAGTCTTTTTATTTCCATGTGTTTTTACATTTGTCTCCTGTTTTTACTTTTCCTACTGCATTTCTGCCTCATTATGTAAATAAGGCGGGCGGAGCTTCTTGGGTCAGCTCCTCTCCTATTGGTCAACAGACAGGAAGGAGCAGGATCCATGTGCAGATCTACTGTTCATACTTTTGTACTGCCTCAGTTTAGATTAAAGTTTAGTTTAAGACAAGGTAAAAACAATTATATTTATATATATATATTTTTAAAAATGGTAAAATGTAAATTATGTGCTAAAATAAATAATTTATTGGAACTAAGCTGAAAAATGTTGAAGGTCAATTAAATTATAAAATACGAGGTAAAATTCTCCTATTTTATTTAATTGGTGCTTTTTAAGTGTTTTTATTTATTGGTCCATTTATACATTTCTGCTTTTATTTCTAATTATGTCAGTTTCGGTCCTCCATAAATCTCTGTCTCTTTGCTGCTGCATTTTTGTCTTTCTATGAATTAATGTTGAAAATATAAAGACAAATAAACACAAAGTGCCTGTAACGTGCATACCCTTCAAATACAAACAGTCAAAGAAAACATCTGTATATTTAAGAAACGTGGTATAATACACATGATTTTACCCATTTTGTCTCATAACTGTCATATTTTATTTTGAACTTGGCTCAGCCAAAGTGAAACAGGAAGTGACATCAAAGGGGAACTCTTTAGAAAAAAAATCCAGTCTTTATTTATTGAAACAATATTATTTGACTCTTCATCTCTCTGATGGAGACTCAAAATAATCTAAAGAAACATCAGACTCTTCTCTACAGTCTGTGTTGTTGGTCTTTGTAGCAATGCTGTTTACATGCAGACATTCCCCTTTGACATCACTTCCATGCAAATATCTCAACAGCTGTTCATCTAAGGGGCGTGAAATTCCTTTTGCAATATGTTATCAATGTTATCTTTCCAGAAATTATTTCATATTTGTTGAAAAAATGTTGATGTCACAGGCACTTTAAAGTACACTGATATAAGACTAATTTTTCCTGGTTCTTAAAATGCGAAACATGAAATAAAAAGATAAATTTCGCCACCTACTGGTCAGATGAGGCGCTGCAGGTTGGATATGTTTGAGGTGTAGCTACCTGCTGCGTAGGAAGATGTGTTTGGCCTGTTTGATGATTTTCTCCAGCAGCCCCTCGCTCTGCTGCAGGCTGGAGATTTCAGCCTTGTCGTACGCCATCGGGCCCGCGAGGCGAAGGCGTTTGTGGCCGAAGGGAGCGCTGGCGGGATGCGGCATGACCACGGAGCTCAGCTGCTGCTTGTGGAACTGCAACAAGGACGTGGTGGAGTTACTACGTACACAGATTTATGGTTTCTCACTCCTTCAGGGAAAAACTGAAGCAAGAACAACGAGTGAGCATGTAACAGGAAGAGACTCGCCTCTCTGATCATCTGATGCAGGTTGTGTTCCAGGACATAAAGATGGTCGTCCGGTTTGGGTTTCTCTGGAGAAGCACGACTGTTCTTCTTCTCTCCCGTGGAGTGGCACAACGAGATCGACAGCTGCAGACCTAAAACATATAGTTAAACAAAAAAAAGTGCGGCGTCACAAATTACCAACATTTTTCTTGTTAAATCCAAATAATAATAAGAATCCTCATGTTCTTCGTGGTTTAAAGCAGAGTTTCTGACCTGGGAAGGGCTGCGAGATGATCTGATTCTTCACGACGATGTGAGGGATCTGAGATTTAATCTGGACAGCCTCTCTGGACAGCTGAGCAAAGATTTCCTTGCAGAGCAAAACATTCTGAGCCGCCTCCAGTTTGAGGTGCCACGGCTGCGTTCCTGAGTGTGGAGGGAAAAAACACAGGATTTAAAATGGTATGAAGAATTCAGCGGAGGGAAGCTAAGTATGTAAATGTTTTTGATTTAATGAAGCTGTGTGTGCAGAACGAACCAGCTTTCGTTTTTTGTGGCCTCCTGAAAAGATTTACAGTTCCCAGGTCCCCGATGTCTGGAGCCTGTTTCTGAATGGAGACCTGAACAAAGAAACAGCAAGAAATTTGTTGTTTTTTTATCTCAAACATCCAGTTTTCTCTTAGAATAGAATAGTCTTTATTGTCCCGCGTGAGGAAATTCAGGTGTAGCAGCAGCAGCAGAAACATCAATCCACAGAAACAGTATATTTCTGTGCGACATTATCAACTGTAGCAATAATAATAGAATTAAAGAAGTAACAATAAAAATAAACATAGATCAAAATAAAAGTAACAATAATCATTAGTGTAACGGGTTATCAAGATGAAATTGGATGAAAATGAAAAATAAGTCAAGATGCTGCGCATTACACGTCCTGATCATACTTTTACAGAGAGTTGTAAAGTAACTAAGTACAAATACTTTGTTACTTAAGTAGAAATTTTGGTTATCTGTACTTTACTTGAGTCATTATTTTTCAGCGTACTTTTACCCTTACATTTTTACACAATTATCTGTACTTTCTACTCACTACATTTTTTAAAAAGGTAAGAAGTAGAAAGTCATTACTCCTGTTTTATTCTGAGTTGTTACTACTTAAAAAAATACTATCGTGATAAATTGTGTCTCCTGGATAGAGTGAATTTAATTGTGGTTGGATGAGAAGTATAAATATTTACCATTCTGACACCGTTAGCTTGTACACAACCCATCACAGCTGCACGCTGTTAGAAAAAATATACTTTGGAGAAGTCACCTCCCAATAAATGTCATTTAGGAAAATTTAACTGCTCACTTCTACTCAGTGTTTTTACTTTTAATACCTATGTAGATTTTGTGTCAGATATTTACTTTTGATGCTTAAGTACAAAAAATATCAGATACTTTAAAACTTTTACTGAAGTAATATTTTTAGAGAAGACTTTAACTTTTACCAAAGTATTTTTATGATAAGATACTTGTACTTTTACTCAAGTAATATTTTTAGAGAAGACTTTAACTTTTACCAAAGTATTTTTATGATAAGATACTTGTACTTTTACTCAAGTATCACTTTGATGTACTTTATACAACAATGCTTCTACAAATACAAAAGCAACAAGTGTCAAACCTTGATATAAGCTGATCCCTCCAAGTCACTGGGGATCTGGACGTTTAGTGGACAATAGTCCTCTGGGACCTTTTTGTCCAGATCAATGTCTGTGTTTTTGATCACCTCAAATGTTCCGTGGTGAGGAAACAGAGAACCTGCGAGAGCGAGAAACATGAGTTAAAACTCGCTCCAGTTTCATTAGAATCCCCAGAGGCGCTCAGCTTCTCACCGGCGCTCCGGTAGCTGAGGTCTCCCAGAATCTTGTCTCCCACTTTGCGGAGTTTCCACTGGGAGCGAAGCCGAAGCAGCTCGGCGTTGAAGTCCCGCTGCCTCCGGTTCTCCTGGTTCTCTGCCACGGACTTGCTGAGCTTCTCCGCACCTTTCAGGAGAACCTGCGCTGCGGTGGCCAAAGACTTCTTCTTACTGATGAGCTGGAACACCTGAGGGGTCTGCGGACAGGTGGAAGAGCGAAGCACAAATCTTCAGAAATTATTACCGTGTGCTTCGTCGTTAGAGGAGAAGTCGTGCGGTGTTCTCCACGTGCTCACCTTGCCAGCGGACGGGTCTTGTGAAACTGGATCTAAGGCCATGTACTTCTTCTCCTTCACCACGCTCAGCACGTCGTACAGCACACACATCTCTGTCAGGGCGCTGCGCAGGTTGTTACGCACCGAGTCCCACGGCCACAAAGATGGCTGAAACTTCACCGTGCCTGAGAAAACACAAACACAAAAACAACATTTTAATGCTCACATTAAATACAATAGGATCGTAAAACGTTAGATTATATTGTTTTAGATCAATTCATTCGACGGTATTTGCTTGTTCTTTCAAAATAATGCAGTTAAAGAATCAGCAATTATCTAACCTGATTACCTTAAATATCTTCTTGTTCTGCTTGTATTTATTTTCTATTCATCACAAAAAAAAACACTAACTTGTTTTTACATAGCTGGAAATGTTAAAATAAAGTTTCATTACTAAGCAAATTTGCTTTTTATAAACTTTAATTTATAGAACTATTATAGTTAATTGTGTAGTACTTTACAAGCTTGAGAAAATAAGGTAAAATAGTATTTTAGTGTAATTTAATGAACTATAATGTCGGAAAATTGTTATTTTTTATGACATTCATTATCTAAAATAAGTTTTTACGACCCCAGATGGTTTCTTTAACTACAGCTTGGACAAAAACAAGTCATTCTCTGCCATCTGTCGAGTGCGCCATACCTTCATCTTCCTCAGCTTCCTTGCTCCACTCTCGGTCCCTGGGCTCACCGTCAGCCCCGTCCTCCTCTGAGTCAGACCCCTGGCTGAAATCAATCCTTTGTGCCAACTTCGACAGGTTCTGGGACATGGACAAAGGAGGGACATAGGTCTCTGTGCCATCCAGAGCCACCTCCTGGACTTGTTTCTCACAGGAAGACTCGATGCTGATCCTGACCGCTGGGCTGCCGGACATGATGAGACAAAGGCTGGGAGGAAGAGGAGAAGCAGAAAAAAATCATGATCATCTGAGTGGCTCTACCTAGTTAATCTGACTTAAAGCCTGGTTAAATAAAATTAAACTAAGTTAGGTGATGTATTTGGGATTATGGCAGTAAGAGTCCACTTCTGCTTATATTTTGCTTTCAAAGAGACAGACTTGTAAACTTAAGCAGCTGTGTTTAACTTTTAGATCTTGTACATCTGCTTATCTTTTAGCTTTATTTTAAGCACATCCCACTGTAACCACAAAAGGACAAAAATAAACTAACACCAAACCTTTAAAGCCCAAAACTGATTAAAACATAAGATCAAATCTCTCGTCTTCTTGAAAGCACAATGTAAAGAAATAAAAAATGGTTACAGATAACATCGAATAAGTTGCCTCGTCTATACCACGTCAACATAATTCATCACAGCATTAATGAAACATCTTTGTGTCCTGCAAGAAACTTCTTCAGTCTGATCAGTTATATTGCAGGAGGGTCACATAAACCCCTGAGGACTACGGGAGGGTTAAGCTAGCTTTAGCCATTTCTTTAATCAACTAAACAAAAATAGAAACAACATCAGAAGACAAGAAAACAGTTCAGATGACAGCATAGAGCATGACTCGAAAAAATCTCACCCCTAGTCTTCCAAATAGACGCAAAAAAATAAATGTTTATTCGCTGAAATTGGTTGACGTTAGAAGCGATTTGTGTGTGAACACAGAAAACAGTGGGTCTGCATCATTAATACAACGGCGCACTCAACGGTGAGCTGAGTAGGCGGAGCTTGACCACCATCCAGCTATGCCAACGAGTAGATTTGGCGAATTTACTAAAAATTTTGTATACCTAGACAGTGCATTAGACGTTAGAATTCTGTTTTAAATTATATATTTTGTGTCCGGTCTATGTTTTAAAGAGACATCCTCCTCTTTTGCCGATCGTCGTCAAATGTAGCCTAGAGTAAAACGAGTGAACACCAGTGTATCCCCATAACAGATCCCCCAAGTGCTTTTGTGTTTTTCTATAAAATTCCAAGCCGGCTGTAATTTTATATTATCTTTAATAATACTTTTGAATTTTTGACTTGAGTAACTTATGTTAAAAATGATTACGAACGCGAAATATATTCACGAAGTAGCAGTAGGAACCAACGTGTGGTACTGATGTGTACGGGACAGATAAGGCGGGCAGTTTAAACCGCCGGAAATGACGCTTAGGATGTTCTTTTTCTCAGTCGGACATTTTTGCAAGTAATCGCTAGTTTTTCCTCTCTTATTTTATGCGTTTTGTTTTTAAGTTACACTTTTTACGTTTTAAACGTCTCGTTGGGTTGTTATGTTTGCTACAAAAAGTAATTTGTGCACCGAGTGAGAGAAGCTAACCTAAATTAGCTTAGCCTTAGCTGCTTTTGAAATGTTCGCGTCTGAGAAAAATGAAAAGAAAAGTGTCGAAATTAAGACTGAGTCCCAACGAAGAAGCTCGGATAATACGAGAGGAGCACGAAAGAAGGAGAAAACTACGAATACAGCAGGTAATGTTAGAAGAAATCAGAGGTTTCACGTCATATTTTTTACCATCATCGTGTCCTAAGTATTTAGGTTTCTTGCTAACTGTAAAACAGATTAGTGTTTTGGATATTTACTCTTATTGAAGCATCATTTTCACTGCTGGTTTCATAAAAATATACGTGTTTCTAAAGTTAAAATGCATGCTATAATTACTAAATCGCTTAAAATCGGTTTGTTGTGTTTAATAATTAAACTTTACACATGACAATCGTGTTTATTATTAACATTTTAGATCTGTTTGACAGTTACTGAGTAATCTAGGTAGGTTGAGATTTTCAAAATAAGATGTGGGGTTAAAGCTGCCTCAGTTTGGTTCAGTTTCTTAGCTTCATTCAAAAAAAACACGTTTCAAATGATGATCTTTGCTGTTGCGTCCAGGTTCGAGAGCAGCAGAGGTACATCGCCCTGCAGATCCGCCGGGAGGTCGAGCAGAGGCGGCAACATGAGCTGGACCAGCTGGAGCAGGAGCTGAGGGAGGACTGGACCCGACAACAGAATGACAAACTCCAGGCGCTGCAGAGGTTATACCAGGAGAGCTTGCAGCTTGTCGGCCAGAGCCACAGGAGTGCAAAAGAAAATGTGAGACACATCGGACACAGTTTACATTTTATCAATTAAAGAATAGAAGTTAATGAAGCTCTCGCAGACCTTTGGTCCAGTTTGTTGCACCGATGTTGAGGAGTCTTGGTGCAATCATGGTGCAGGTTGGAAAAATGTGATTTCATTTCCATCCTCCTGCTTTAGGAACCTGACCTGGCAGCTGTTGCTCAGAGGGAGGAGGAAAACCGGGCCAAAGCAGAGGAGCGTTATCGAGAAGCCCTGAAGGAGCTCAAAATGCAGAAGATCAGCGATCATGAGAGGCAAAACCAGTAAGACACATTCTAAAATTTTAAAATAACCTGGGTGATGTTTTATTTTTACATTAGATTAGAATTTAAACAACTTCCTCTTTGCTGATCTGTAGAACCGTTAACGCCAGGAAGAAGGCTCTGCAGGCTGAAAAGGAAAGATCAGCCAAAGTGGCCAGCCTCCCTCCTCCTCTAAACCCCATCCAGGTGATCTGTCTGAAAAATAAAGTGAAACAAAACAATATTTTAAATAATTTTCTGTTGACGTTTCTTTGAAACAAACAGCAAACTGACTCCTGACTTTAAAAAAAAAGTTGATTGGACGGATTATGTCTGAAGTGAGGCTAATAATTGTGACGCTTCTCGTTCAAGCAGAACATCGATGTGAAGAAGCCACACGTGGTGAGGAGATGTGATGTGAGTGCGTTTGCCTCCACACATTACCACATGCTGGAGAGCGTCGTAGAGAGAGAGGCAGACACCGCTCAGGTAGGACCGCTCGTTTGGACTGTCCGGGCCTCCTGGACTTCTCTAATGCCTGGTTGGATCTGCAGCCCGACGCCCACACAGAGGCGGAGCTGGAGGCCAGGAGGCTGCAGGAGCTTCAGGAGGAGGAGAAGAGGAGGAGGGAGGAGCAGCTGGAGAGGGCTCGGGTCAGAGGGAGGCAGGCTCTGAGGAGGGAGCAGCTGGTGCAGGTAGTTCACGCAGATTCACCCTTTCTGCATGAAAACAGCTTTTCCCCTGAGCGCAGCCACCTTTGTTTTCCTTCGTCAGGACCGGGAGCGTTTGCTGGTGGAGCTGGAGCACCTGCAGCAGACGGACCTGCTGAGGAGGAGGCGGCAGGTGTCTCAGATGCCACCGCAGATCTTCCAGCCTCTCCACAAGAGACAGGAGACGAGAGAGGACTTTCAGAGGGAGCTGGAGTTCGCCTTCGAGGACATGTACACCGGAGAGAGGCGTAAGAAGCGTTCTGTGTGTTACTGTACAGCTTCTCAGAACGGATCCACGGTTAGTTGTAACATTAGACTTTATTTGATAAACATGTTTTAATAAAGACTGTAAAAATACTGTAATACAGGGGTGTCAAACTCATTTTCACTGAGGGTCACATGAGAGTTATGGTGGCCCTCGATGGGCCAGTTGTAGGTAACTTTGACTTTTCATGTTTAACTTTGACTAAACAGTGTTTTAACACGTCCTCTTTTAAACACTGATAAGAACTAAGTGTGTGAAATGTGATATAAATACAGAAATAGTATTAAAAGTAAAACTAATAAAGTTTTACTCAATGATGAGTTTCTAGTGAGGAGCTGCATTATGACAGATTTAGTTTATGGTTGATGCTGACTTTAAAGCAGATTATTTTCAGACATTAGTAATGAGCTATCCAACTAAATAGATCAATTACTTAAAACCAACAGCTCCGGGGCAGAACAATTATTATCTTTTACCTTTTAAATTTATTTTGTTTTATTTAGTCATAAATTTAAGAAACAATTTTCATGTTTAGTAACAAAAAAATTTCATATGATTAAATAAACTTTAATTTATTTTTTTTATAATAAAAACACAAAATAGTCTCCATACTTAAGGAGACTTCTAAATCACACTAGAACCTCAACATAAGAGAAAACTGGAACTAAAACAAAAAATAATCTACACAGTGGGCTTAGATAAACAGTGGTTTCAGAAAATAGTCACCTCTTCTTCTCATGTTGCAGCTTGGTGCTACAAATGTTTAAACTCTTTTACCCCAATAACAAAAAACTCAGTAACCCTTATTAGCGAGATTAAACCAGACTTTTATCAAATTAGTAAATTTAATAAAAAGGACGGAACTATTACATTCCCATCAGTATTCAACTATTTTGCAACAGCACTACTAATTTAGCTCAGGTGCCTCTGCTTTCCTTCGATCACTGCTGAGATGTTTCTACACTTTGATGCAATCTGATTTGTTTCTGAAGAAGACCTCCATAGAAGATCAGAGCAAACCAAGTCATGAGATCAAAAGAACTGCCTGCGGAGCTCAGACAGGATTGTTTTAAGATGCAGGTCTGGAGAAGGCTACAGAGTTCTGCTACACTGAAGGTTCCCAGGAGCTCAGCTACTGGATTCTTAGATGGAAGATGTTTAGCAGAACAAGGACTCTTTTCAGATCTGGTCTCCACATTGAGCAATCAACAGAAAATGACCTTGAAAGAGGAGACCAAGATCCCAATGGTCACTCTGAGCTTCAGAGATCCTGATGGGTCTCTGTTCCAGAAGAACTGAGACAGAGTGTCTCAGTGAAAGCTTCTCCTCAGAACTGCTTTATGTACTCTCAGACTGTGAGGACCCAGATTATTGGGTCCAATGAAACCAAGATTAACTATTTGGTCTCAACACTTATTATGTCTGGTGGAACCCAGGCACTGTTTATAAACTGCTCAACAGTGAGACACGGTGGTGGCAGCATCATSCTGTGGGCAAGTTTATCAGCAGCAAAAACTGGTCAGGGTTTACGGGACTCAGGACCACCTTCAGGATGACCAGGACCCAAAGCAGACTGAGAAGACACACACAGGTTTAAATACTGATGGAAATGTGAGTTTTAGTCCTTTTCTTTGACTAAATTTACAAAACTGGATCAAATGAGTTCTCACCTCGTCATCATGGTGTGAATTATTGAGAATAAATTTATTATTTAAATATAACATATAAGATACACATATAAGTTAAACACGAGGAGTGTCTGAAAATTTCCTGATGCTGCTGTAAATTATAGTTCTAAAATRCCAACACTGCAACAAAAACTGACTTCCATATATATAAAAGCAGTAAGTGTTACGAGAAGCAGGAAAAGAGCTAAAAGAAACATKTATTTCTTTTTAACAAGAGTTAATCAGAATCAGGAACCCTGAGAGAAAAGACAAGCAGAACAGGAGATTTACAGAGCTAAAATAAGAGTCTGTAAAGATATGAGACAAGCTCTTTATGTGAAAATACACTTCCTGGCCAAAGRAAACAAGTGTCCACCTGGATGTAACTRAGGTCTATGATGTGAGGTKGCTGCAGTTGGTCAGATCTGCGTTCAGCAACAGTCTGTGCTCACAGWACAAGGTCAGCTGACTACCTGAATGTACTRAATGACCAGGTTATGGATTGTTTCTTCCCTGAAWCAAAATTTCCAATTAGTTTCAAACCCTGGCAGCTAATTAAAACAAACASCAGAAAATGTCTTTAAGGGTTTTTATTGATGCACTCACCTTATCGTTTATAATCTCTTTCCTTTTCCCACTAGAGGAATTACTGTTATCTGTTTTGCTGATGCTGACAACCAGAGTGCTGCGGTGGATTAAAACCACAAYAACGGCAGAGCAAAGCTTTAGAACCGTAACAGAAAAACAATCACTACTAACACACTCCTGCTACTTATCTGTCCAATAATTACAATCTGCACCCTCAGCAGATGTTAACATCAAGTCTGTTTGAGTGTTTTCCTTTAACTGACTCTGTGTAAAACAGATCTTAAACCTACCATAACACTTAAACCTACTGCACAACAGTTTTATTTCAAGTAAACCTTTTTATTCCAATTTTCCAGTAAACTTATATTTTAGGCCTGACAGTATTTTATGACTCATTCTTTGATTATCCTTTATTATAAAAGAACTTGAAATCATTTCATTTACACCATACTCTTGATCTGTAAAAAGTTTCAAATATCCCCTTTTTGTGCTTAAACACCCAAAAATGTAGGTACTGTGTTTGTAGTTCTTGTGTTTCAGAGGTTCAACCAACCTGAGATCCCAGAATCTAAAGTACAGTATAAACCAGAGCGAAAGCCAATTCTCCTCAACACATTGTTATCAAATATTAATAGGGCCGGGACTTTAAAGGGTTAATAACAATAAATTTTTTGCAGATAAAATCACATCTCTTTAGTGTTCTTATTTCTGCCGTAACCACAGCTGTGTGTGAGGAGCAAATGCTCCTGCAGCTGAAGCAGTTTGCAGTGGAGAACAGTTTGCTGAGCAGGACATTTAAAAAAAAAAACTGGACGGTCACGTCATGGAGAAGAACATAGTCATGTGTAAATTAACTGTCCTTAAAGGAATTTATCAGCCCAGCATGTCCAGTCTCAGGTATTTATGGTTCCTGCTGACAGCTGCRGTGCTGTACTGCTTCTCCACACTCTCTCTTTCTCTTGCTCTCATAGCACTGGAACCTTGAACAATAATGTTGAAATAATAAGGCACAGCTATTATCCTACAATATAATGTAAAATAAATGTTAGCTAGCAGCAGTAATGAAGCTATTGCTCCAGCAGTCCTGCTGTCTACATGTGGACCGTCCATCCAGCCCACCGAGACCTGATGATGGCTTCAGAACCAGGAGATGTAAATCCACAYCTGATAAAATCAACAAACCCTGGACTAGGGCTGCACCGATTAGTTGAAATAATCGATGACGTCGATTATGTAAATTTGTCGATGCAGATTTTTTATTATCGATTCGCTGTATTACATAACCACCACATGAATGTTCATGCAATTCCATTTCGGTACCTAAATGCATCATTGCGACCGTATTGGCATAAGAGTGGTGAGTTTTTCATGCTTGTCCTGAACGCAGCATCGCACAAGAGCGTAATGACGTCAGCAGCTGCTGCTTCAGTTCAGTCTGAAGCTTGAAAACAAGCCTNGGGTGGATATAGCTCGCTAGCAGCCTCGCACCGAGGACCTATCCACATCATCATTTACCCAGAATGCTTCACGTGTAAATAAAATGGCTCCATCCATGTTAAAATATATTTTAAAAATCATAAAAACTAAACAGCCTACAGTATTTTTACAGTCTTTATTTTACAGTTTAAATAAATGTTTATTAAATAATGTCTAATGTTACAACTAATCGGGGATACCTTTTAAAGGAAAGCTATAATACTTTGTTTTTAGCCCTAAAAGAATTACCTTAAACCTCACACGTGTCTCGTCTCAGGGGTTAAAGGCGACCTGGTGGTCCAGCTGGAAGCTGAGCCTCTTCCAGGCTCTTCAGATGGCAGCCAGGACCAAGAGCTGGATGTTTCTGTGGCTGAAACCCCACCTGAAGCAGAACATCAAACTGGCTCAGAGCGAGAAGCTGGCAGCACCGAGCAGGAAACATCTGCTGATGGTGACATGACTCTAAATCCAGTTTTATTCAGTCAAATCTTCTTGTAATAACCAGCCAACATAATAAATAAAACATAATTTATTTTTCAGCAGAGCCTCCGAGGCCTCCTCCCAGACGAGCTCTGAGGAAACTCCTGGATCGGATCAGGAACCAGAGGAGCGAATGGGTCAGCAGCAGCAGCCGTGTCTCGGATTCACCGACTGTCTTCACGGATCAGATCCCAGAGCGAGACACGAGCATCGAGTCAGGATCTTTACAGAGTGACGAGAAACTTAAAGAGACCCCCATCGAGGTTCCTGAGCCCACCATCCCTTCACCAGGTCAGTCATTCTGTTGTTTTATATTGATTATGTTAGGAATCTGTTTATTTTAAAACATTTGTGTGATGAAAACAATGGTTTTATGTTTTACTTGGAATGAAAAAAGAATAAAACAAGATTTATGTATGTTTTGTTTGCGTTTCTGTTTGGTTTATTTCTAATAGTTTTTTTAATGTTATTTCTTTTGTGTTTTATTTCAGGAGCTTCGGAGCTCAGAAACCAGGCAGAAAGTTCACTTCCTGATGTTGTTGTCAGCAAAATCCAAGAATTTGAAGAAGAGCGAAAGAAAAAGGTAAATTCCAACATTTATTTTTAACGTCCTCATTTAGGCTGATTAGAAATTCGTGCAGAAAATCAGTTTTTTTTCTAGGAAATAATTTCAAATATCTTTCAGACAACCAAATCCTCTGGGTTTCTTCTGTTTTACACCAAGCGTCGTAGTCAGACGGACTGGTTCTGTTGTGTTCTCAGTTTGTTTAAGGTTTTATTCGTTCTCAGGAGGAAGAACTGGAGATGGAGAAACGGCAGCAGGTGTTTCTGCTGCAGGAGCTGGAAGAGCAGAAAGCCAAACTGGAACAGATGCTGCTCGAGGCTCAGCAGGAGCGGGACCACCTGAAGGCCGCTGTGACCTGGGAAATGGTCCTTAATGGACCACAAGAGCCTGAACAGAACCAGGAGGCCACCCCCGGTTCAGTCACCGAGGTAAGTTTAGATTCATCTCAGTTCATAGATGAGGGAATTAAAAAACCTTGTACTGTATCCTCCTGACTACCAGTAGTTCAAATGTGTCCTCTGTAGAGGACATTTGTAAACCTGAATATCTCTCACCCACTTCATATCACTGAGTCAGCTCATTTTGGTGTCTACAGAGGACATTTAGAGCTTTTCAATCATACCAGATCGTGTGGGGCTTTGGTACCTTTCTCTTTCTCATTCAGGAAAGTGGTGTCTCTCAGTGAAAGTGTGTTTAATGGGAAGAGGAAATTTAAATGCATCATACTTTTTACTGAATAAATTTTGACTTGAAATGTTGTTTTTATAGTTTATATAAGTCTAATCAACACATTAAAACACTGTCCGACTTATTTTAACTTTATTTTTGCATAATTTTTAATCATTTAAAAAATGTCCTCCATAGTGGATATTTGTAGTTATTTCCTTCATTTTATCCTGCTTTTTAGGACAAGAAAGGGAGACATTCCCAGAAGCAGAGACAAATTTACTTCAAATTGTTGATGAAAACTCAGATACTGATGTATGATTGGTGTTGATAGGATGTCTGAGTCTGTCTAGAACAAGAAAATTATGCATTGATCTGCAAATGGTTCCATTTACTGGTCAATACCTGGTGTGCCAGTATGTACCAGGCAAACCATACCCAACTGGACTGAAGGTGTTTGTTCTGCATCAACTGGATAGAAACCACAGCCAACTGCAGCTCTGAGACTCTATGATGCAATCCATCTTCCAGGAGTAGAGATAAAACACATGCTTCAATGTGTCGCAGATCTGACTGCAAAAGTAAAACAGTGTTAGGTAATAAACTTCAAATAAAGGGAATTACTTTTTAAAGTATCTTACTAAATAACCACAAGAAAGCAAAAATGAAAAAAAAGTGATCACTGACAGTTATACAGATGTTAAACTCATTCTTATTTTGACTTTTTGGTATTTTCTTTGGGATTAATTGATGGCCATGAAGGTTCAGTTTCACATGCACGGTGTTCTGATGTCCACTGTAGAGGACATGTGATATCTCAAAAATAAAAACTTATTTTTCAAAAATAAAAAATTCAGTATTCTAATCATGGTTCATGCAGGGTCTTAAAAAGTGTAAAAAAAAGTCTAAAATTTGAAAATCAAAATTTTAGACCTAAAAAAAGTCTTAAAAATGCCCAGATTTTCATCCAAGGTCTTAAATTTATTTTGTCAAGTCTTAATATTTTTACTGTCGATCAATCCTGAGAAGTGTTTGCTACATGAATAAACAGAGTAAAGCTCAATAATCAGAGGTTGATCAGATCTGTGTTCATGAAGGGCTAAGTTTGCTACCAGTCTTTGTGCGTGGTTAAACTTCAAACCCTGTGATAACTGCAGGCAAAAAATAACACAGTTTACTTCAATGGTATCAACCTCTTTGCCGCTACCCCCCCCCCCCCCCCCCCAAAAAAAAATATATATATAGTGGCTTGTTCACCTGCCCAAAACTCAAAGAAGTTCAGTCATGTCCACTGCTTGTTGTTTAAACATGGAAAGTGTGTTTTCAGACTTGCACTTGGAAGCGGTCCACAGCAGTCGATATGAAGGTCTAATAGATATGACCGTTTCATTAAAATAATTTAGTATTCTTTTAATAAAATTAAATATTATTTAATAGCTAAATTGAAAGCAATAAAAGGCTTCTATGTTAAAATGTCTGGAACCATTTGAATGTTTGTGTTAATGTGCTGGTTTGGTCTTAAATGTCATTCCTAGTGATCTTAAAAGGTCTTAAATTTAACTTACTGAAACCTGCATGAACCCTGTTTAATAGCGTTACAAAGATTGTGGAATTAAAATAAAATGGTAGTTGGACAATGTATGTTTTCCTGGTAGGAGGATAAAGAGGGTAAAAAGGCAGAGTAACTGTTGTTTTTCATTTACTTTTCTTTGTGAGTGCAGCCGGCTCCTCCTGCAGGTGAAGACCACCACGCCGGGAGGATCAGAGAGTACCAACAGAGGCTGTTGGAGCAGAACAGGTAGGATTTCTCCCCTCGTCCACAGATCTCCTCCCAACAACAGCAGCTGAATAACTCTGATCTGTTTTAAGAGTTCACCAGAGGTCAGTGGAGGTGGCTCGTCAGCGTTTGGAGGAATACCAGCGAGCTCTACAAATACGCCACCACATGCCCACCAGGTCACCACTGTCCCTCTCCGGGCCTCCGACCTTCCGTACGCAGCCTGATGTTCCTCTTCAGCTCCTCACTGCTCCTGCAGGGCCTCCCTTCATTCACACCGAAGCTCAGACTTCAGAGGAGTTTTCTGTAAGAGGCTCTGAGGCGTCCTGTCCCGCCTCCAGGTCCAGCGTTTCCTCCAGGACGCCGTCGGATGAGTCCGCGAGGTTAGACGTAAACACTCAGCTGACTGATGACATCATGAAAAGAGTAACAGAACACCTACCTGAAAGACTGAGACCGCCCTCCGTCTCTGAGGAGCAGCCGCCTCACAAACCGCCATCGAGACACAAATCAATCAGCTCACAGCCGACCTCCGATCGGCTCCGAGCTGTCGGTCGGTCCGAGGGTCCGGACCCGGAGTCCGGAGAGGAGGGCACACAGAGACAAAGACGGCAGGAGGCTCAGAGACAAGCGAAGGAGCAGAGGGAGGCGAGGCTGCAGCAGGTGGAGAGGCAGAGAAATGAAGTGGAGCTGGAGCAGATGAGGAGACAGAAGGAGGCACTGCAGGCTCTGATTGACACTGATGAGCAGGTTTGTGGGAGGATCACCAGCACTCCAAAAAAACATGTTCTACCCATATTACAAATATGTTTTTTTAATGCTGTTTATCCCGTTTATATGATTCTTCAGAAACAGGCACCATTTACTCTCTTCTCTTTTTTGTAAAGAAATTTGAGTTGTGCGCACTATAAATTTTTCTTATGCAATTTAAAAAAGTCAAAGCCCCGATGCATTTCTCCACCTGCAGCATGGTTCACACACTTCCTGTGAGGAGCTGCAAGCAGAGGACGTTCATCAACAACGAATGAGGTTACTGGCCTCTCTTCTGAAGGCCATCGAGGAGTCACATGGGGGGTCTTTGTCCCACTTAGAAGAACCCGAAGAGAACGGTGACGCCTTTCAACAAAGCCTGTCTGCCTCTGCTGGGACAGGTAGTGGACGTCTTCTCGTTAGCAGACACAGAAATCTCTCTTAAATTATTTAAGAACAAAAAGAGTCAAATCCATTGCAGTATTGTACAAAGTAAAGGAGTTATTTAATGATAAAGCACTGTTTATTCTAAATAACACTAATTGTTCCACACTTAATATATTGTATTGAAGTCTGGGGGAAAGCATGTAAAACAATTACAAATCCTATTTTTATTTTGCAGAAGAGAGCCGTAAGAATTATCACTAGAAAACACTACTGTCACACATCAAATATATTATTTTATCAGTTGAAATTATTGAAGTTTTACGAGTTGTTTGATTATAATATTTTGCAGGTTATGAATAAGGCTCATAGAAATGTATTACCTTTGAACATCCAATTACGCTTCGTTAAGAAGAAAAATTGTTACAATCTGAAGGGATTAGAAATGTTTGTAAAGCCTAAAATTCAAATAAATTTAAAGGACAGATGTACTTCAGTTCAAGGAATATGATTATGGAATATTCTGGATGGTGATTGTAAAAATGCTGGCTCAATTTATTTGTTTAAAAGAATGATACAAAAATTATTTGTTAAAGAAATGAAATTCTATAATTTGTATTTATAAGAGCTGCTGTTTAGCAGCTGAAGTTTTTGTTATGCTATTGTTTGAAACTATTATTATTATAGTTTATATATATATATA